CAGAGGCAGTTGAGCTTAACCTCACTATCTGTATGAATGTAAGACATCTTAGATATAACATGGAACTGGTATTTTCCATCAAGTATTGATATGTTAAACTTTCAATCCCTACAGAATGTGAAGAAAAAAATATTTAAAAAAAGGAATAAACAATTACATATTTTTACGCAGAAATTTAGAAATCTAACCATATACAGCATTGTAGCAGAATAGTCTTATGACTTTTTTTTCTTGTCTCTTGTTTTCATTTATTACCTCCCCTTTTTTTTAAACGAACATTTACTTGAGAGACAGTATGGCAGTAATTGGTATGACATGAAAAGCAGCACTAAAGATAGCAATGTGTAATACTAGGGCCATGCTTGGCATGCCTGTCATTTTGGTCTTTTAAATGCCTTTTGAAAGTTAAGAGGGATAGTGTGATGTACCCCTTTATGCTTGTCTTTTGGATTCAACAAAAATCTACTTGTAGCCAATAGTATTTTTATCTGTACTCCAAAGCTGTCTGGGGGCCAGCTCTACACATACCATTTTATCTGTGAGCCATTGGCGTCTTTTATTGTAGATCAAACTTAGACATTACGGTATTATTCAGCAAAATAAATGAATGTAAGAACATTGTACAGTTTGGTAAGAATAATTCCACTGCTTCCTCTTCTAGGGGTTAGCCAGCCTGTATGAGAAGTGTAGTCAAATGAATGCTAAGGATGATTTACCAGGTGTTTACCAAAAGCTCCTGGATCTTTATGAAAGGTAAGGAATATATGGGGAGAAGCTAGTTTCTTCAGGAGCTTGAATTGGAATAATGTGGTTAAAAATGATTTAGAAGTAGAAGTTCTCCAAACCTTTACTGGGAGTTGGGAAGCATTTTTTTCTTCAAAACCCTTTGTTCCAAAATCTCTTGACTGTGATTGGAATGAAATCAAAACACCGCTAGTGGGAGGATGGACTAAGTTAGACTCTTGCTGCTATTTGCTGTTAATGTAATGGAAGATAGTACTGTATTTCTTACTCATTTTTTAATGAGAGGCTCATTTTATAAACATTTATGCAGAATGAAAGGGAATGTTTTCTAACTTAAAATACCATAGTATCTGATAGTATTCTTGGGTTATTTGAGTTTTTAATGTTTTAGGTCCTTGGTGTTTTCATTATCCCATTTAAAAATCCCTTTGTGTTCTTTGTTTTTGGTGTAAGTGTTGACAAACAGAAGTGGTGTGATGTGTGTAAGAAACTTGTGGACCTGTATCACCAAGAGAAGAAACACCTGGAGGTTGGTTGATGATTTTCTAGAACCCTAGACTTGGGTAATACAATGATTAGAAGAAAAGTAACTTGTAGTGTAAATGAAATTAATGCGCAGTGTGATGTCAAAAGAATTGTAGGTAAATAACTTTTGAAAATGATAAATTAGAATTTAAATTTAAGGTATTATAACTTCTGAACCTTCTTGAAAATGAGTAGGGTTTAAATTCAGTAAATAAAAGTGTCATTTGTGGAACTTAGTGACCTAATTGTGGTGTCTTCATAGCTGATACTCTAAATTAGGGGGCTGGGATGTAGTTATCTA